AAACATTTCCTCAGAGCGTTCGAGGAGAGCCTTCAATTTGCGGGATTTGTCCAAAAGAGCCGCCTTCTCCGACTCTAGCTCATTGACCCGATCCAAGAAGTCTGACCCTTCGCCTGCAAGGACAACTGCCATCTCGGCCATTTTCACCACCCTGACCATGCTGGCAGCGAGGTGTTTCCTCCGACCTTCCTTGTTGAGCCTCCTGATGATGTCGGCCTCGTTGTCGGATACGGACAAAGGAAACCTCTCGAAGAAATCCTTTTCCATAAAACAGGGTGGCAGGCTGAAGGCCCGGGCACCCGCCCCTCCATCGGTCACTTCGACCCCATCATCTGGTCGACTCTGTTTCTTGCTAATCAAAGCAGATTGGCGCTTGGTGTCTGGGGAACCCGAGGACCCACTAGATCCTTCCCTGCCTGATTCAGGGGTCGGGCCCATTCGCGAGGCTTGTTGCGGCCTCACCAACCTCTTGCTGATCTTTTTGTCTTGAGTCAGCTTCAGCAACCTCTCGCGACGCTCCGCCATGTGACCTGCAAAGGAAGTGTACTTAGGTTAGCCATATTAAAGAAAAAATAAAGAGGAATATCACTAGAGCAAAGCAAGAAACCTAAGAGGTCTACGGCCTGCCCGTAAGACTGGCATTTGATGAGCGCCTTGGTGTTGATCGGATGCGCCTCGAACGTCGGCTCGTCATCCTCATCAAGAACTTTGTCCCCTTCCCTCGTAACCCACCAAGAAGGGAAGAAACCATCGACAAACTTGTTTAGGACGCCATAAGCTTCCTCATCCTCAACGCTCATACCGCCAGCAGGAGTGTGGTAGTATCCAGGTCCATGGTCGTAATGGCCTGAACGCCAGTGGATGGGAAACTTTGAGACTTTCCCAATCTCGGGATTACCCTCAGCATCTAAACACGGCTCCCTGTCCTCGTCCACCACAACGGCCGGTTCGAACAGCGAATCCATGGCTGTCTGGGTAGACGGTTGCAAAATATACCACTTATCCTTGAAATCTCGCACATAATCCATATACATCCTAAATAGTCTCTTCGACTGCTTAAGGGACACCCAACTGTGCTTCCCTCCTCGGGACGGCCGTTGTAGATGAAAAACCCTGAAGAACAGGGGAACCGTTGCCCCAATCCTTAGGAAGCGGCAGGTGAGTTCGAATGCTCGGATAAAGGCAATCGCGTTAGGATGAATCTGGGAGAGGGCCAGGTTCAAGTGGTTGAACACTCCCACCTGGAAATCATTGAAAGGCAACCGGAGCCCGAGATCTTTAAATACGATCTCGTACATTGGGAAAGGCGTCCTGTGTAAACTCCGAGCAGATACGGGCATCCCTCGTCAGCCTCATGATCTTAAAGTTTCTCTGAAATCCCTCCTGGCTGCCGCCATACTCAACGACAGTGTAAGCTTGTTTACCGGTATAGCTATAGATCGAAGTTATTCCCCGGGGTTCAGCACCAACCCAATCCAGAGTAGGGTCGTCGACAATGTCGACCAGATTGATGCTTTCGTCGGCAGTGTTTGTTTCCTCAGCATCATTACGCCCCGAGGACTCAAGAATCTCAGCCATTTACCTGCAAAGTACAGGAAACCAGTGAATTCGATAACAAATCCGCTTTTCCGCCATACAGACAGGGAGAAGTAAGCAACACTCGGACCGAGTCAACAACCATTTGTACGAAAAACGGGGAACACATAGACCTCGACCAAACACTGACCTTAACGGCGGACGTATATCAATCATAAATGTCACGAGCATAGCATGAATATCGTGAGAAAAGGATGAATCCCACGACCAAGTTCATAACGTTGCTAGCCAGATACAAGAATACTACGGGGAAAACTAGCCTACATACTAACGAAAGGATGAATCCCCCGAACAAGTTCATAAATCTACTAGCCAAATGCATGAATATCACAGGCACGATGATAAACCGTATGCCTAAACATATGAATGTCGCAGGCGTAATCGTGAATCAGGCGCCCAGAGTGCTTCAATTTCTCGGGCACGATCCCCAGACACGAAATTCTACCTCTAAACACCATCAAAATCTATCTACAACATGAGATATCAAAGAAAAAGAACACTTACTTATAAGAAGAGTGAGGAGCGACGGTGGTGGAGATGAACACACGGCAAACGGTGCAGAGGTCTCAGCGACGCTAGGAAAACACGCGGTGTTAAAGGCAAAAAAATATGAGAGCGTGAAGATGTGAAAACAAGCTATGGACCCTGAAGCCCTATTTATAGAGATGACGTAGAATATGAAACGTCGCGTCGGGGAACCACAAACCGCCTTCATCCTCGACGCCTACTCGTGTAGATAATGATGCCCCTACTCCCTAGGGCGGCATTATGGTTTCCAAGAGCCGCACCACGTGTCTGACTAGTGTATCACCACCTCCCCGCGAGTGCTCCTCGAACACTCCTCGATCCCTGCACGGAGCAAATCACGAACCTGGCGACGTCTCACATCCCCGATTGAAAAACTCTTTGTCGCACAAACGAGTCTCGCGAAGGGGCGAACTTGAATTAAGTCATAAACTCCCGTACCAGGAGCAACGACTTGGGGGGCTCCTGTTCTGGACTGAGCCTGCCCTTGGCCCAATCACCAGTGAGGCCCAATCCAAGCTTGCCAACATACCGTGCTGAGCAGTGTACCCTCTGAACACACCCCGATCATGGGTATCTGGTCGGCTATGATTACTTCCCGCCGGTGCTCGCGAAGAATATCCCCGACGAGCGCGCACTCCCACCGAGCACCCTCCTCGTAGGGCTGACTTTCAACCTCTCTGGATTTTGCAGAGTCTTCATGGTCTCGGAAAGATCGCGTATTTATCCTCCCTATCTTGCGGAGGGCGTCATCCAGGTAAGAGGCTACATGCAGGTCCCCACTACTCACGTAGAACCTGACAGTCTCTTTGTTAGGCCTGTTTGATCAGCCCAATAAAGAGACTTTGACTCAGCGCTGGGACTATAAATACCCTCTATTTCAAGAGAGCCAGGTATTCGTTCATTCACACCTACATTCATACTTGCTTGCTCATTCCGTCTCTCACTTTGTCATCGGAGTGTCTTGCAGATAATCCCTCATCTCCTTCAAATCCAGCCCGAAATCAGTTGTGACGGTCGAACTCTGATCGGGTTAGATCAGTATACTATTCCTTTAAAATTATAATATTGTATATAATGATATTATAAGGAAAAGAAAGAGAGAGAAAAAGTCGTATAATGATAAGATGTGGTTGAATAGATGATTGCGTAAAACTTTTGTAAAACAAAATAGAATTTTCTTATTTCCCCTTTACACTTTCCATAACGATATGTAAATTTGACTTTTTTACATATATTTAACAATTAATGTATATAACTCATCTAAATCTAAATCATTCATCCGAATGGTATCTATCTTAAAAAAAAAAAAAACTCATTATACACTTAAATATTATATCATTAAATTGTCATTGACATTTTAATTTGTTTATTTTGGAGTAAAACTTGAACGGAACCTTCAACAAAATTTATAATATTAAAGAAAATAGTTATAGTACTGGGTTTGTCAAAAATGTATACTACTTCAACAGATTTATTTTTATAATTAATGATATTGTAAGAGAGAAAAAATTAAAATTTCCAATGATAATTTTTTTGTATGCTGGCCTTTGGCTAAGTCAGTCAATTAACATATTTTGGTTCAATTTTTCAAAGTCAAATTTTTATAGAATATGTAGTCAAATTATTTCATCAATTTTATGAATTAAAAGAAAGAAAAAATGAGGTTAAAAGGATGAAAACAAGTTGCATGGTGTTAGTTTTATAATGGGGTAGGAATCTCTCTAAATTGCATTGATTCAAACTTGCAAGGAAGGTATTTCTTGAAGCATCAAAATCAGAGTTACTTAAAGAGCAAACTAATTCCTAATCACAAAAATCACTGCCTCTTCATCACGTTTTCTTCTATGAATTCAATGATCCCACACAACCACTAAGTCCAAAACCTACCACTTTTTTCCCTTCCACACCACAGCATGCATATTTTCCTTTAAAGACTACAATTTCATCATAAAAAGATTGGATTTTTAATGGGTGGCCAGCAAAAGAAAATTAGTCAAAGAGCAAGGAATCAGGTTATGGGTTTCAAAGTTTCTCATAAGCCTGTAGGGTTTGACCTTATGCAGAACTGTGATCTTCCTCCACCTTCCAAGGTTTTTCTAGGTTCAGATAAAACTGTCATATTATCTATGAATAAGGTCTGTAATATTTCAGGCAAAGAAAAAGAGCAAGATAGTAAACACTGTGGACTCGAAAATGGTGATGACGAAAAGGATAAGAGAGAGCTTCTTAAGGCACTGAAAGCATCTCAAACACGTGCTAGAGAGGCAGAAAAGATGGCTGCTATTCTAAACAAAGAAAAGGATGATCTCTCTGTTGCTTTGTTGGAAGAGGCCATGCAGTTGTTTGCTTGTCGCCAAAGGGTGAGATTGCTTGAGCTTCAAGTTTTAAACCTGCAGCAAAAGCCAGCAATGTTGATGCCTGCAGAGGAGGCTATAGGATTACCCCATGAAGAAACAGTTAGTGTCTCGTGGGTTCTGGCTTTGATTTTTTCATTGGGAATTGGGGTTGCCACTGCCCTTGCTTGGGGTTACTAGTGCTGCTGCTATCGCAGATGTTTAGTTGATACATGATAGGAAGACAATCTGCATATACAAATTGTTTTAACATTATCTGTTTTTGTTTATTTACTGCAACATGATCGCCAATCGATAATTTAGCAGTATGATTTGAAGTGTTTTAATAAATTTAATATGATATGAACAGTCGAAAAGACCCAAATGATGCAACTTATATTAAATCTCGTGTACATTAGTAGTGCAGTAGTGCAGAACTGCTATTATATATACATTAGTTCACACCTTTGCAATTTCCAACGCCTATGCACATAATATTATTTACCACTATACTAAACTTACAATCACCACACAAATAGCAATTTATATGGTTAAGTGTATAGTTCTCATATGATCATAACATTCATCACTTTCTAAAAAGATTTCCAAGCAAACCCAACAGACATGTTTTCCGCACTTGCACTCAATGTGATTGCACCCATCTACCTTTTCAATTATTTGCCCACAAGCAGAGCAGCTCTTGACTTGTTCTTTCCCTTTACACCACTCCCTCAGAGATGAGATCTCTGGGTCATTTTTAAGCTCTCGGTATCTCTCGCATGAAACAAATGGATGATATTCTAAGTGGCACTTGGTACAGGTGTCTTCATAACATGCCCCACAAGTAAATGGCTCACTACCTGTATCGGGATCAGCAACTCGATAAATTGAGGGGCAGTCGGGAGACGGGCAAAACCTATAAGTTCCGGAACTCGAAGCTACAAAAGCTCGCAAAGAAGCCCTGAAAAGTTCATCCAACTTGTCATTTGACAGGAGAGTTCTGAAATCTGTAAGCAGAATAGGCTCTCCACAGCCCGTGTGAGCACAACATATTGGGAAACTGCCTTGGTTTCTTATAGCAGATTCACACTGCTCAACCAGACATAACCGGCAGAACAAATGACGACAGCCTTCAAGTTGATATCCATCTTCAACCTCACACAAGCAAATTGCACAACTAGGTCCTGTGTCATGTCTCTCAACTAAATGAATGCTTGAACGTGCAATCTCCAAAGTTATTTCCTCTACTCTTGGTTTCAACTCCTTGTTACCAATAAGAATAATTGCCTGTTGGCGTGTGTTAAGTTTGAGATCAGCCCCAGGCACCTTCTCTTTTAGTCCATGAAGATCCGGCCCAAAATTCTTAACCACTCGTTTCATCAAGTCAGGAGGTAGGTCCCTCCCTCTCAGAGGGATTACTAACTGCTTTTCTTCATGGAGGGAGAGTAGAGATTGAATTAACTTCTGCTGAGCCAAAGCAATCTTTTCTGGCGAACCAACAATTCTCAAATTCAGGTTTTGCTTGTCAAAAACTATGTATGTTTTAGTCTCTTCCTGTATGGAGCATTTAAGACTAAAGCCCTCTCTAGACGACATGAGCTGTAGAGCAGCAGGAGTAAGGCTTCGATGGTCAATGATGTTCCCTCTTGACAGTTCTTCCAGAGGTCTCCTAACTTCTGCCACTTTCTTGGTGGCATTGGATGTTATCTTCAATCGGTGGGAACCATTAGCAGTTCTGTTTAGGTTCCACTCAAGACCTAACCAAAAGACCATTGATTGTCAGCAGTCAAAAAAGATGCAATAGATGACATGACATGACAGAAACTAGCAAACTAAAACAAACCAAAATAAGGGTGATTTATTTTGGACTGAAATATCCTTAAAACACAATTTCTATATACAGGGCACTTTTTTTATAATTGCGACCTAATAGTTTCCATTTTATAAGAAATTCCAAGATGAAAGTAACTCTGTACACTCCCTTAAATTGTATCCATCTTAAACAATAGTGCCTAAAATCCACATCCTAACATACAATACATCAACTGCTAAAAAACAAGTAAAATAAGGGACCGACAACAAAAAAACCTAGTACTCACTTCTCCTCTCGGTTTTTCCAACCTGTTTTCTTTGGGAAAAACATACTGCTGAAGCTTAACTGGATATGAGTTATTATTTTCATTAAAAAAAAAACCAACAAAGTTGAACAAAAGACATGGTGAAAGTCAACATTTTTTAGGGGGGAAATATTAAGTTGCAGCCATGTAAATAAAAGGCTCAGCTTTTGAAAAAACATCAACAGAATAATTACAAGCATCTATAAAAGATAATGATGAAATTACCATTTAAATTATTGAATTTTGCAAGTATGTTTTCCACTTGTTCCGCAATCACGTGATACACTGGTGCAGGAAATATCAAGGAGCTATGAAACAACTGTTGGCACTGTATCTTTTGCCATGAGGAACATCCAGGCAACACCTTTCCTTCAATTTCTTCCAAAGCTTTAGCTGCTTCTAAATGTAATCTTCCATCAAAATTAATTAAAGCTCTCATGTAAGAATCCTTTGGCTCAGGTGGAAATACCTGAACACGGCAAGAACTAATATGAGGGTCTACTTTGGGCATTAAGGGGGAAATTAATTTAAAGAGAGCCTCTTCGCAGGCACTGCATGGTGGATTTGCAACAGCCTCTCCCCTCACCACAAAAAAGTCCAGAATCCTTCTACTTGTAGCATTTCTTAGTACATCCAAAATTTCAGTTTCTTGAAGCTCTCTGTCAAACCCACTTATCATAATACCGTCCATAGACTTATTACTAAGTGCACAACGAACATACCTCCCACCAATTGCAAGGTTATAAAAATCTCTCAACATGAAATTGACATCATTTTTATCACATTTAACTATGCCGAATCCTTTGCTAGGTCTGCGGGGCCAGAAAATTCTTGCTTTAACTTCAGGAAATAAAAATGTTTTATCCCCTCCCATAGATGATTGTGAAGCAAGTACTTTCAAGTACGAGCCACAAAACTCTTCTCCATCCAGCTCAACGGCTCTTTTGGCAGCATCAGGGGACAAAAATGTTATCTTGCCCCACTTTTCTCTATCTGCAAGATCCTTCCCCATTCCTGGGAACTTGTACACAGCACATATAGAACCTGAGGTGTTCTTCTCAAAAAACATCAGGAGCTCCTTGTCTTCAATTGCATTTATGTTTGGGTGATACACATCAACACTCAAGGAATGCTTCTCGAGTTCCAAATGCTTTATCTCAGCACCAGACCCAAACAAAGCCATAGGTGATGAGGAACCAGACCCGTGATACAAACATTTTTCCATACATTCTGTGTGTAACCTCTTTTTCTCATATTCTAAAACATCACTCACCAACATCGTAGCAGTACTCATATCGTGTGAAGCGGCATATAACTGGATGAGATTCTCGTCAACAATGACTTCAACGAAGATTCTTTCATCCAAACAAGCTTTCCTAATACGTGAAACATGACCAAGCAAATTACTGTTGGATTTCCCACAAAACCTTTTGAGAAGAATAGTGCCAAAACCAGTCAATGTCTTGGTTTGCAACTTCCGTTCTTCCATTTTGGATACATCAAACGAGGGAGGGGGTTGAAGGTTGTGTAATGATTGAAAGTCAACAGCACTAACACAGACCAGATATTCATTAGACGCTGAGAGAAGGTCACCGAAAACCACCCAATTAGGCTTCTGAGCAAACACGAGCAAGGAAGAAGATGGATGCAGATGAACATGTTGTCCAGTTTGCGCTACTTCATAACCAAGATGATTGCGTCCAGAAAACATGGCTACATTTTCAGAAAGTGAGGCCAATATAACCTTTTTCAAATTCTTATCATGAACAGAAGGTGTATGAGGATCCCAACGCCAGTAACTTGGAACAACAAAGCCATGTTCACGCTCTAGAAAAGATTCTAACTCAAAAACTGTGTCTTCACATCTCCTCATACATTTAGCATTGATGCTGTTTTCCCAACACCATTTATTCCTCCTCTCTCGAGGCAGAGCCTCCCATTCTTTGTACACAGAGAGAAGTGTAAAAAGGTCACCGTCAGAATGGCAAAACTGCACTTTGAGACAATCAGATCTTTGCTTATCACCTTCATTACCAAATCTGCAAAATATGTTACTAGCATTGGGCATCATGGCAGCAAGGACAACACCTTCTCTGCCCAGAGCAAGTTGGAAACAGCCTAGGATAAGTTTACCATGCCTTGGTTCAATCCCCATTCTTGCCAAGTACCTACCTTCATAAGTTAGATCATGAACATTATTGTTCAGTTTAATGAATCCTAATTGAATTAGATTCTTGATCGCCATCTCAATTGAACTGGGGCTTGGAGCATCCACAAAATCAAAATCCTGCACATTCTTCACCCCTAAAGCAAGGATCTTCAAAACTGCTACACCAAGATGAACTCTCCGAATCTCAGGTTCTTGATTTAGTTCCATAGAATGATAATCAGCTTCTGAGTACATCCTATAGCACCTGCCAGGCTCAGTCCTCCCAGCACGACCAGCCCTTTGATTAGCTGAGCTCTGGCTGATCCAGCAAACCTTAAGTACATTCATCCCAGTGCTAGGATCAAATCGGCAATCTTTAGCCAACCCGGAATCTATCACATACTTAACACCAGGAATTGTAAGTGATGTCTCTGCAAGATTGGTTGAAAATATCACTTTCCTTTTTCCAGGATAGTTCTGGAAAACATGAAATTGCTCTTCGGATGTAAGTTTTCCATGCAAGGGCAGAGCAACAGCAGATAGGACTTTAAATTTTTCACAGGCCCATTCTACTTCTACCTGTGAGGTCAGAAAGGCAAGAATAGTTCCTTCCTTTTCTGTTTTGTGAATCTCTGTTGCCATTCTGACGACATCAACAACATAGGATTCCACGGCAGCGGCGCCAGATTGGTCTCCATAATCGGAAGGAACATATCTCATCTCGACCGGGAAGTTTCTCCCGTGTACATGAAAAACTCCACAGCCATAGAAATAGTCGGATAGCTGTTTTGCATCAGCTGTGGCAGACATAATGATGAGCCGCAAGTCAACCCTCTCACAAAGTAAATTCTTTATCAATGCCAGCAGTAGATCCGTATTTAAGCTCCTTTCATGAGCCTCATCAACTATAATGCACGATACCCCAAATAAATTTCTGTCACGCATGTACTTCTGCAGTAAACAGTGATCTGTCATGAATGATATCTTGGAATTAAACTTCTCGCTGGATGAAAATGTAGAAATACACTGTATTGAATTTTCTTCAAAACATCCACTACTTTCCTCCTGTACCCTTTGAGCCAATGACTTGGCTGCAATCTTGCGAGGTTGGGTGCAAACAATTGACCCATCCGCCCCAATGCCAGAATCAGCTAGAAACTGCACTACTTGAGTACTCTTTCCAGAACCAGTCTCTCCAATCAACACAGTTATCTGCACAAATTATACTCATAAGAACCACAAAAATTAAAGTAGCAACATGACTAACAGTATGCATTGGCAAAAAAAAATGTTTTTTTCTAGCACAGCCAACGAATACAAAATCTTATATCTCTTCCCATGATCAAATGAAGGAATTACAACAAAAAAAAAATTAAACATTTTTTCAAGCATATACCTGTTGGACAAATTAAAACAAAAAAAAAACTTCTTTTTTAAGCATATTATATGAAGATACCTGTTGATGATGTATTTGCTGAAGAATTTCCCTCCGGTAAGCATAAATGGGCAATCCTTCTTCAAGTCTTCTCCGTTCCCGAACAATGAGGCTGTGAATCTTCTTCCAATCAAAACCCCCATCAAACCTAAACACAGAAACAAAATCTTCACCACTCTCCATGTCGTTACTCTCTCCCAGGTGCTGTAAAACACACTCCATCGCAAACTCAAACTCCTTCAACCTCTTCTCAACCAAACTCTTCTCCTCCTCAAGCCCTTTCTTTCTTTCAACATGCTGCTGCTGCACTCTAGCAGGAAAAGGCTTCCCCAACAGCCCCTTAACACGAGCAATCTCCTTCGATAAACCATCCCACTCCTCCACCCACTTCTTCACTTCCTTCCCCTCCATCAACTCCTTCACATGGCTCACAAAAAGGCTTCTTAAACGACCTTCAAGCTCAACCCTATCAGAAGGCACCATAACATTCCATATCAACTCCGGCGTAAAATCATGCCCTCCAACAAGCCTCGATTCCCAGAACCAAACAACAGCTTCACGCGCATCCGTCCACTGAATAAAATTCAGCGACGCAGCAACACCATCACATGGGTAAAAACAAAAATTATCCGGATTCGGCTTACATTTCCCTATCAAACACTCAACATCATCCCTCTGGAGAGAGCCACGGCCATGATGAAGAAGCTTAAGAATGAAATTAGGCTCACGATGAGGGGAATTTCGCTCTGGAGGACGGTCAACACGGTGGTTGGAGTGGAATCCAGGTTTCCGGTAACGGTAAACCGGACACGGTGGTAGACGGTGGAAATTGGGGTTGTTGTTTGACGGAAAAGTCTTCTTCATGGTGAAGCAAAGCTATTAGCAGTGAATAGTGAAACCCTAAATGAAGTGAGAAACTAGAATGTGTTGTTTGAGATTTTAGGTTTGAGAGTATTTAAATTAATTTGGATAGTCTAGTGTGACCCTTGGATTACTTTCTTTCCTTTTCAATTTTTTTTTTAAATTCACAGTTTTCAAATATTATATTATCTCGTATTATGCGCTATTTCCTTATTATTAGTATGTTAGAATATTAGTAATAATCAACACTAGCCATATTTTTATTAGTTTACTTATATATTAATTTTACTTTTTTTTAAAAAGATATATTTTATTGTATTTGAATTTACTAATTAGTTACCTATCGTTGATAATTTTTATTGTTAAAAAATTAGATTAATTTTTTAAAACTATTAATTTTAAATTAAAATTATTCAATCTTAATCAAACGATCTACTATATTTAAATATATCTAAATGTGTGAATCCATAATCATTTGATGTTGCAAATTTGGATCGAAAGTGCATGACTTTAGAATTGTAATATTGACTATTTTATGGCTTTCTTCTAAAAAAAACACTTAAACCAAAACTAGAAAATACTATTTAAAATTTAATTATAAGTCAGAAGGTACATGAACAGTCCAATTCAAATATATAGAAAAAATGAGTATTTTATGTGCAGCATTTAATGTTATTATTACAAAAATATCGTTACATTGATTTTTTGAATTTACTAGAAGGCGGACATTAATAAAAGGGGTAGGCTGGTAAATGTATTTATTTTTGTTATATATAAAATTAAATAAGATTAGTAAATTAAAATTAATATAAATTAAATATAAAGTATTTAAAATGAATAAAATTATTCAGGTGATTAAATAAAATTATCCTGCAAACACAATAAAATTTTAAATAAATTAGCAGATTCTGAAATAAAAATTAAAAATATATGAATTAGAATCAAAATAAATAAATTTATATATTTTTAATTAAAGATATGATATAAAATAGGATATGATAGAGATATGATATAAAATAAGATATGAATATGATATAATATAGATAAGATAGAACTTATCATGTCATCTCTTTGATTGTCATGATATTAAATATGATAATATTATAATTAGGGGTAAAAATAGGTCAAATCAATAATAGGGGTCTACGGTTTAGTCTACATAAGTTCAAATCAGGCCAAACTTTATTTTTTAATAGAAAATGCATAGGCTTTTTTATAAGTCTATTTAATTAAAAAGACTAGGCCTCAGGTCATGAAAAAAACATTTTAGACCTAACAGACCTGCCTATATAAATAAATATGAATAATTTTTTTATTATCATTATGTTATGTTTTGTACTTTGAATTAAAATACAAAAAAAAAATTGATTATCTTGGAGAACTTATGAAAATAAGATGAAAACACCTTACGAACAATGTTATAAGTTGTTTTCACAAGCCCTCTTAAACAAATAGTCTCACAAAATTTATGCTAATAGGTAAGTTTAAAATAAATCAATGCAAACAAATTTTTAGTCTCATTGGTTTTTTAGTTTATTAGTCTAATTAAACATTATTTGAATTGCTTATTTACATATGTCTAAAATAATAGGTTTTATGTAAGCTAACAGACTTATCGGACATTAGAAAAGGTCAGACTCAGGCCTAAAAATAAATTTATGACAGACTACAGGTCAGGCTTAGACTTCAATTTTTTTGGCAGGTCAAGCTTAAGCTTGGCAAAGCCTAGCTCGACCCAGCCTACTTCCTCTCCTAATTATAATATTAGTAAGATTATAATCAATTTTTATAGTTTTGATTTGTTTTTATTTATACACTAGTCAATTTTTATGATTTTTACTCATTCATTAAATTTTAAAAACCTCTCCCATGTTAAAATTATTCTATAAAATATATTAAAAAAATACTTCGATTTGTTTCTATTTATATATTGGCCAACTCTTATGAATTTTATTTGTAATTTAAAATTATCTCCCGCATTATAAATTATTTTATAAAATGTAAAAGGTTTAATCGAATGAGATTAATTGGTCCTTGTGGTCTTGTTCGTTTATATTTATACACTAGTCAACTTTCATGATTTTTATTCATTTATTGTAATTTAAAAATATCTCCCACGTCGACTCATTCATCTCTTGTCTCTCCTCTTACTATTATTCATCAATGTTAACCTTAAGCTTACTTTTAGGTCAACTGGTCACCGTCAGGGAGGATTTCTCTAGTAGAAATGTTTCAACATGGTCTTGCCTCGATAATGCCCAGAAAGCGCCTCAATCATCCAAAGCACCACCCAACAAATAAAAACGTCCGCTGAGGCTTACAACATAAATTCAAACATCTTTCAAATACCAATATCTCATTTCCCCCAACCGTGTGTAAAGGGTGATATGATTGTCATCTCAATACCGAAAGAGGAATACCAAGTTGGACTTGAAGCTTGTAAGTAAAACCTTCATAGACGTCTATGTTCATGTCAAAAAAGAAGGCACAAGCAAAAGATCTGAACTTAAAGGAAAATAAAACGGTTAGGATGCATAGCTCACCTCAAAACTGGTCAACTGGTATGAATCAAATAATGAACAAGGATCATGAGACAAGTTGAATTGTTAAAACTCCAACCCTTCGAAACAAATTTAATATCTTGTTACATGTGGTGGTGGAAGACATTGTGGAATCCGATGATAGCTCGCTATACAAAGATTTTGTGGATGCACACAATTAATAGAAGAAGATATTAACTCTATTGAAAACTCACGTGAGTTAAACAATGAAAAGTGTATTCAATATTCTTGGGATAACCTGGAAAATATTGAGGAGGTGGATGGGGACCTAGTGGAAAGCTCAACTTGTAACGAGACTCATAGTTTCACCTTGTTAGAGCAAAAAAAAGTTAGGCATGAAAGTGGATACATAACCAGATCAAAGATTGGTCAATCCACATCTTTGAAATGATTTTTTTTTTTGAATTCTAGGTGTCTGGCCAATCACCCATATAAAATTGGCTCTTAAAAGGATTATTTTAAACAATAGACTTGATTTCCTATTTGTGGTTGATCCTTGAATGTGTTATGATAAATTCCCTCAAACCCGGTTACTTAAATATGACCTTAAGTTTATTTCCCTTTACTGCAAACCTATCAAGCTTCTTAATTTGTGGTACTTTTGCAAATGTCACCTAACTCGAAAAATCCTTTATATTGGAGATCAGTATATAGCCTTTACACCATAGTAGAGAATGATGCCATTTGGTTGGTAGCGATATATGCTTCAACCAACAACATAAGAAGAAGATATTTGTGGGCAAATTTAAATAACATCCTCATGACACACAAAATCCTTTGGTGCCTCATAGGGGACTATAATGTGATCTTAATAGCCTATAATGGTAGAATTTGTATAGTTCACACCCTCAAAAGACTAGACAAGGCCATTTGCAACATGGGAAGGCTGGATTTTAGTACCAAAAATTCTTGCATCACTCTTGCCTAATGTAAGGTTAAACCATCACCCCATAAGGTTGGACTTTAACTTCTCCATAAATACCTACTCATCCTCCTTCAAATTTTTACAAATGTGAAACACTCATCCAATGTGCTTGGAAGTGATTAAAAGTAGTTGGAATATCAAGATTCGTGATTTTCATATGTCTATTTCATTTGAGAAATTGAAAATCCTAAAGGTTAATCTAAAAAGATGGAATCATAACACTTTTGGGAATGTGCATCTGATGGTCAGAGAAGATGAATACAAGTTAAATTAGGTTCAATTAAAGATCTGAGATGAAATTCATTCTGAGGAGTTGGGAACTCTAGAAAAAGGTTGCATGACTAACTTGAAGATGGCCCTTCACATGGAAAAATTGTTTTAGAAGGTGATCGTACCTGACCAGAAGAGATTGTCAAAGCCCACGAGCTTCGAGCCGAGTAGCAGTTGGATATGAAGTGGGGGGTACCTACAAGACATTTTTGATGCCAAAGTGAGGTTTAGATCTATGCAAGCAAATGTGAAAGTAAGGATGAGATATTGAATACCCGACCCTCTCAAATGAGAGGGTATTTATAGCCCCCAACGTTGGGCCAAGATCCCCATTGTTGGGTTGGGCAACCAGGCCCAAAATAGAGACTGCCAGGTCCTACATGCATAGTGGGGGCCAACACGTGGTCCCCAAACTGGATGGACTCCTCTTAACTATCAGGAGGATTGGATGCAATCTTTTCGAGACCAAGAGGACTCAGTGATATTCAGAGGTGTTAAGAGTCAGCCCTAAGAGGTGGATACTTGTGAGGTCTTTCTGCCTGTCGTGGACCATCCCTGCCAACTGCGAGGTTGTCCTTGGAGGACTTATCTTGGTCGATGAGAGGAGTGAGGAATGCTCATGGGGTCCTCCTGACTGTATTTGGCCTTTCTCGCCATTCATGGAGTTATCCATGTCGACCAAAAGAATGAGGTGACTGCCTGAGCTAGTCGAGGACAGAACTCCGTCAACAAGCTTTTTCGTGTAACACAGTTGGATTAGGCCTTGTATGCTATTTGGGCCAAGTGCAGGCCCAATACAGAACATGATCCCCCAAGTCGTTGCTCCTGATGAAGGAGTTATGACTTGAATCCAACATTTCCTTACGACGAGCATAACTTAGTCGGGGGTCTTTCATTGCGTCGAAGGAAGGGTCGTCAGTACGCCTTGTAACACGAGCAGTGGCTGGAATTGGCTTCACGGGGAACATTTCAGTTTTTCCTCGACATGTGGGGAAAGGAAAGTTCGTAGGATGTGGCCACGTGGCGTGGCCTTTGGAATAGAAACGATGGTCTAGGGAGTAGGGGTCATTATGACTTGAACGTGTAGGAAGCAAGGAGAAGGGCGGTTGGTGCACTGCCCAATGCGACAATTCGTATTCCATGTTAGCTCTATAAATAGAGCATCAAGGCTCATTTGTCACATTTCAACTCTCGCTCTCTCTCCGTTCTCTCTATTGTATTTGGTTCCACATTGTTTGTTATTTTCT